CCCCAAAACCCCAAAACCCCAAAACCCCAAAACCCCAAAACCCCAAAACCCCAAATTAGGCTTACCACATTGAATAGGAATTATCCGTGAGTCACGGTCAGTTTCACTTTTAAATTAAAGAGATTTTAGATTTTGCCGACTTTAAATTTCCTTCATAGTACAATCAAAAGAGTCTCTATGGTACCTTTATGCTTATTCGATAGTCCAAAAGGGCCAGTTAGTATTGTGGAGTCCTTCTTCTAAAGCTAAGATCATGATATATTTCTTGGTAAGCATTTATGGTTGAAGCGAGCAAATTTATTTGTACTAATAAGCTTTCAAACCTCCAAGTTAGAAAACTGACTTTCATAGCTGAGCATGAAGGAGCCAGACATGTTATGAGGTGAGAATAACAGCAATGAAGAATTTATCAGCTTGCAGTCAGTGAACCTTCTTAACCTAACAAGAGTTTACCAGAGAATATCAGAGCAAGAGATAATTTCCAAAAAGGTTATAGGTTAAACTTGATGAATAATAAAGTTAGCGGTGAATTATGAATATTAATGGTCGTATTCTGGTCTAAAATTCCTGGAAAATTGAGTGTTTTTTCTATTATATTTTAGACTTTTCAAGACTAAGAATCTTGATAATGGGCAAAATTGTATAAAAATGTAGTAAAACATCTATAAGCTTAAGGTTAGAAGCAAGATATATCGTTTTATAAGGCAAAGCTAAAGTGACGATAAAAAATAAAAAAATTTAATCTCGAATATCCAAAAATCCTATTTTGACCAAATGTGTCACACGTTTTCCTTTTTACAAAGAGTCGAAAAATATCCAAAATTTGAAACTCTTCAGTCAAACTTTATAGGCGAGCTTTAGAATCTAGACTAGTGAGGATGAGAGCTAGCACTGTTTTTCTTCATTATTTACAAAAGAAAAGGCTAGCCGAAAGTCTTTATTTTAAATTTTGACTCCAAAATATTCTGGAAAAATCACATAAAATTCAATTAGATAAAGGCTCTGATTTCTAATGGAAGTTCCAAGACTTTTCTTCCTATTGTTCACCATTGAGAGCTTTTAAAGGAAGAAAGACTTACAGTAAGACTCAAGTAATTACCTCTCAAAGGAGCACAAGATAGCTTCTTGCTCTATCATTATATCTCCAAATATTAAAATGTAGATACTCTTGTTTGTCGAGGCACCATTTCCTTTCTAAGAATCTGATAGAATTCAATTTTAACATTAAGAGGTTATCTGAAGTCCCTCTTCTTAAGTTCTACAGAATTTTCGGCCTATCCATGAGTGCTTTCCTCCAGTTCTTACAGATATATGTGGGTCAAAGAAAATAAGCCTCCTCTACTATGCAGGCACTCTAAACGAGTGACTTCATCCTTGGTTGTGTTTTGACAAATAAGGAAGATCATTTTTATCAGAAGTTCAAATGATAAAATCTATTGCATGAGTTCTTTCAAAGTTTATGCTATATTTTTAACTTTATTGACAAGCAAGTCTCTGCTTATTTATTTCTTGAGCAAACCTTATGATAAGTTGGAATAACTTTCATAAAATGATCAGTTGAGTGCCTATTTTATCAGAAAGTTCTTTTTCTATTTTAGTTAGAGTTATTCTGTTGCATCTTTAAGCATATGAAACAAGTTAATTAGAGGAGCTGCATCTGTCTTAATAAATGCATAAAATTCATCACTATCTTGAGAGTATACAAATGTATATCGATATTTATAAGCAGCTGCTATAAAAGCCGAATTTTATGACTAAATATCTCTTTTCATTGCTTTCCCAAAAAGAGACTTATTCATCTGTAGATATTAACCTGGCCTGGGCTGGAGTAGTTGGGGTAGGAAGAGAAGTTGAGTGGGAAGTAGGGGGGTTTAGGTAGTGGGGAAGGAAGGTTGAGGTGGGAAGGGGGGTGAAGGGGGTGAAGGGAGTAAAGTAGAGGGGAGGAGGGGTTAGGGGGTTGTGGTGGAGGGGTTTTGGGTGTTTTAGGGGGCAAAAATAGATTCTTTGGTGGGTGATTCTGGTTTTATGATTTTGATCAAGCAGGAAATGATTTAGAAGCCAGATCTATGTCAATAAGGTGTTTTGATAAGTTTGGGGATTTTGGTAAACGGTAAGGAAGCTTGCCTCATCTTTTTATAGTAAAATAATTTATCCCAAAAAACCTTAATTTCTGATACAAAAGAAGGTTTCAAAACCATGGAGATGAAAGTCTAATAAGATTTCAGCCAGGAAGAAGGTCTCTAACAAAGGATCTTCCATAAATGTTGATTATATTTTTGTAAAAATTTGAATTCTCAGATCGACTTAAAATTGAAGAGCATCCTTAAACTTTCTTATGTTCCTCCTTCATTTCTGTGGTGATTAAAATTAACTTTTTTATAATAGAATTTATTGTTTTGATTCATAAAGCTTTTGGTCTTTTAAAAAGTGCAAGAGCCTACTCTAAAAAATTTAAGATTACTTCAGTCCAAATTTTATAGTTTTAAATACAAGTATACATCCCAATAAATAATCCTCATGGCAAAAAGAACTGAAAGAGCCTGAAGAAACATAGATGAAATGAGATCTCTGGGATACCAGAGTATTACATTTAAAATAAGTTCTGATGCTTTAAGAATACATTATTTATTGACCCTCTAGTACACTTTCATACTCAACTCTAAAGACCAAAAACTTCACTAATTTATTCCTCTAAGTAAAGTTGATGGCAAGATCCTAAAATCAGAATGTGCTAAAATTTCCTTCTTTTTTCGCACAAAAAGTGTCTAACTTCTCAGTCATTGGATAGAAAGAAGTAGCTCCTTAGAAGCTGAAGATGGGCTACCTTAAACCTCTCCTTATTTTAGATATTTCTTTGTTGAATTTTATGTCAGATTAAAAAAAAATTAGGCAAAGAAGATAATGATGTAATTTAGAAGTATCCTAACTAAAAGGGTGTCAACACTATTTAAAGCAATTTTAGCACGAATATCAGTTATTAAAACCTTCAAATAGAGATGCCACTTTGTTCAGACTTGGCAGCCTCTGGCTTTGTTGCTGGGCGGTAGAGAGCTCGTTGGATTTCTTGCTCTTGTAGCTGAAGAAATATGGATCAGCTATTTTTATAGAAGATGGGGTATTTTTGGCTCCTTGTAATACAGAACAGCAATTAGAGTCAGGATCGCTGTGTTCTTGGTTGCATTCTGTGGAGTAAGCTCACTCAAGAACCAAGGGTTTGGTGTTGTCTCCAATCTCCATCACTTCCACTTCATACATTGGAACTTGAGTCTGTGGATACGTTGATTGATGTCAATAAGCATCGTCATGCAAAGTTAGCCAAAGTTGTTTGTAAATCTTGTTCTCAAACTGACACAAATCAGCAAGTGTGCTATCAATATTAGAATTAAGATTTTTCTTTTTGTTATCGGTTGATAAATAGCAAGAATCTTGAACTGATATATCAGAGCCAGGCTGGTCTCATCAGCATAATTGTTCAATCAAAGGTTGGGAGCTCAGCGTTGTGTGCATTTTGATGTTGCTAGAAGAAGAGCAATGTGTCTCTCTACAGAGCTCCTCAATGACATTAATATGACCTTCTTCAACACTGGAATTATAAAAGCTCGGCAAAATGACCAGTTTAACTCCTCTACCCTTTTCAATGATCTTGTTATTTACAAGAGCAATAGGATAGAACTGAAGCTCACTAGCAAACTGTGAAGGAGTCAGTACACTTCCTCTATGGGCAGGGAACCTGGCCGCGTGTTTAGTCTTTTGCTCATAATTTAGGAACATCCAGCATTCAGTACAGAGGATCTCTTTGTTAGACTTTTTCTTGATGTCCGAGAGTTTGGTGCAATATTCTCTCCACTCACGAGTTGATTTTCTTATCATTTTGAATAATAAATATATTCTCTCAAGTTATCAATTTTTATTTGCTTATATGGGGTTTTGGGGTTTTGGGGTTTTGGGG